ACACACATGACAACACAGACGTTATATGTGCCATCTCACCCACTATATCTGACACTACATCCAGTGTATCTGTGTCATCAAACCCAGTGTATTAATTATACCACCACACACACTCTATGTATGACATCATATTCAGTATGCATGACATCACATGAACTCTTCATGACATCACACACCTATATGTATGACATCACAAAATGTATATTTATGACATCATATACAACATATACAGTATCACCCATAATGCTTTCATGACAACACAACGACTATACCTGAAATCGCACCCACTGTATTTGACATCACAGCCACTGTATCTGTGTCATCACACCCGCTGTATCAGTGACATCACAACAAATATGGAATTCATCACACTTGGCATACGTATGACATCATACACACTCTACATGACATCACATTCACACTTTATGGCATCAATGCCCAGTATTTATGACATCAGAGCCACTGCATTCATGACATCAGATCTCTTTTATGTGACATCGCTTCCACGATGTATGACATCTCATCCCCTGTATCTTTGACATCACAGCCACTATATCTGTAACATCAAACCCACTATATTTGTGAATTCATATCCACGATATTTGACATCAAACACACTGTGTTAAGACAATACAACCACTATATCTGACATCACACCTTCCATATCTGTATCTGTGTGATCACACCCACTCTATCGATGATATAACACACACTGTATGTAGGTCATCACACATACTACATGTATGGCACAATATGCACTATTTACGACGTCACAACCATGTTTTATGACATCACAACACTCTATTCATGACATCAAAACTACTATATCTCACATCACACCTAATATATCTGACAGCACATCCACTGTATCTGTGTCATCACACACAGATTATTGATCATATCACCCACATTGTATGTATGATATCACAGCCAAAATATGTATGACATCATATGAACTACATATGACATCACCTCCACTCTTTATGTGATATCTTTATGATATCACACCACTCTATGGCATCACACCCACTGTATTCATGTCATCACACCCAGTATATCTCAGATTGCATCCACAGAAGCTGCGTCATTACTCACAGTGTACTACTTAGACCACACCTACTCTATGTGTGACTTCAAAACCACTATATGGATGACATCATATGCATTCTATGTGACATCACACCCACTCTTTATGACATCAAAAGACTGTATTCATCACATCACATCCACTCTTTTCATGACATCACACCCACTCTATTTGACATCACGGGCCCTGAATCTGTGTCGTCACACCCATTGTATTGATGACATCACAGCAAGTATGGATGTCATCACACTTGGCATACGTGTGACAGCATACAATCTCTACATGATATCACATCCACTGTTTTTGATATCACACCACTCTATGACATCACAACCAGATATTCATGTCATCATGCCCAGTATATCTGACATCGCATCAACTGAAGCTGCTTCGTTATTTACAGTGTATTGATTACACCACACCTACTATATCTGTTACATCAAACGCACTATATGTATGACTCATCTGAATTTATATGACATCACATCCACTGTTTATGACATCACAAGACTCTGTTCATGACATCACATCCACTCTAATCATGATATCATACCCACTGTATATGACATCGCATCCACTCTACTTGGGACATCACAGCCACTGTATCTATGACAAGACACCAACTATGTTTATGACATCATTCTCAGTATATATGACATCTCACATGGTGTCTCAATGACAACCCGGCCACTTCATCTGACATCATGCCAACTATATCTGTGTAATCACACCCACTTGATTGATGATATCACATCCTGTGTATGCATGAAAACACACCCATTGCATGTATGACTCCAGAGGCATTGTATATGACATCACATCAACTCTTGATGACATCATACCATTGTTTGTATGTCATGGCACCCACTCTGTTTATGACATCATATCCACTTTTTATGATGTCACACACACTGTGTGTATGACAACACAAGCTCTATATCTGACTTGAAACCCATTCTATCTGCCATCACATCCACTCTATATGTCATGACACTCACTCTGTCGAAGACATCACCCCAACTGTTTTAGACATCACAGGTGGCATATATATGCCATCATATTCACTATACATGACATCGTATGCACACTTTATGACAATGATCCTTAATATTTATGACATCACTTGCACTGTATTCATGACATCACATGCACTACATATGACATGTCATCTACTGTGTATGATATCACAATCTCTATATGTGTAATCGTACAATGTCTGTATCTCTGACATCACACCCTCTATGTTTATGACATATCCACTTTTTATGGCATCACAAACAGTGTTATGACAGCACAATCATTGTGTAACTTCTCAGCCATTATGTCTGACATCACACCCAATGTATCAATTTTATCAAACCCCGTGTATGCATGACATCACAGACACTATAAGTATGACATCATATGCACTACATATGACATCACACCCACTCTTTATGACATCACACCACTTTATGTATGACATTAAGTCCACTATATCTGACCTCACGTCCACTGTATCTGTGTCATCACACCCACTCTGTCAATGATATCATAGCCACTCTACCTATGATATCACATCCATTATATGTGTGACATCATATCCATTATATATGACATCACAACATTGTGTTTTGATGACACCACACTCGGCATATGTGTGACATCAGTTGCACTACAGATGACATCACATCCACTCTATCACACCAAACCACAGTATTTATGATATCACATCCACTTCAGGCATAACATCACACCCACTGTGTCAGACATAGGAAGCACTCTTTGTCATCACAACCTTTCCACTCATATCACTCCCACTTTTGTATGACATCACACCCAGTCTATGTGTGACATCATATGCAGTATATATGACATCACATCCACTCCTTATATCATCACACTTCTGTACTTATGACATCACAAACTCTGTATATGAAACCACATCTGGTATGTAGGGCAGCATATACACTATACATGTGACATCAAAGCCACTAATCTTTATCATCTCACCCACTGTGTTGACAACATCACACCCACTCTTGGTATGACATCACACTCGGCATATGTCTGGCATCTTTTGCACTCTCCAAGACATCACATCACTTTATGAGATCAAACCACCATTTTTATGACATCACACCCACTATATTTGACATCGTATCCACAGTTTCTGTGACATCACACCCACTCTTTCGATGATATCTCACCTTCTGTATGTATGTATGACATCACACCCTCTAGATGTATAACATGATATACACTCTATAAGGCATCACATCCACATTTTATGACATCATACCACATTATTTATGACATCACATGCACTGTACTCATGGCATCACTCCCACTATATCTGACATTGCATCCACTATAGCTGTGTCATGACAACCATTCTATTGATGATCTCTGACCAACTGTTTGTATGATATCACACCCACTTTATGTATGACATATGATGCACTATACATATCGTCACATCCACTCTTTATGAACTCACACCATTGTAGTCATCACACTACATCCACTGCATTCATGACATCACACACACTATATATGACATCACACACATGACAACACAAACGTTATATGTGCCATCTCACCCACTATATCTGACACTGCATCCAGTGTATCTATGTCATCAAACCCAGTGTATCAATTGTACCACACACCCTCTCTGTATGACATCACACACACTCTATGTATGACATCATATTCAAAGCATGACATCACATGAACTCTTTATGACATCACACACCTATATGTATGGCATCACTCCCAGTATATTTAAGACATCATATCCAATATGTATGATATCTCCCATAGTGCGTTCATGACAACACAACGACTATACCTGACATCTCACCCACTATATTTGACATCACAACCACTGTATCTCTGTCATCACACCCACTGTATCGATGACATCACAACAAGTATGGAAGTCATCACACTTGGCATACATATAACAACATACACACTCTGCATGTCATCACATTCACACTTTATGACATCAATTCTCAGTATTTATGACATCACAACCATGGCATTCTTGACATCAGATCTCCTATATATGACATCACCACCACGGTGTATGACATCTCATCCCCTATATCTGTGACATCACAGCCACTATATCTGTAACATCACTCCCACTATGTTTGTGAATTCATATCCATGATATTTGACATCAAACACATTGTGTTAAGACAATACAACCACTATATCTGACATCACACCCTCCATATCTGTATCTGTGTGATCACACCCACTGTATCAATGATATAACACACACTGTATGTAGGACATCACACATACTACATGTATGGCACAATATGCACTATATACAACATCATGCCCATGATTTATGACATCACAACACTCTATTCATGACATCAAAGCTACTATGTCTCACATCACACAAATTATATCTGACAGCAATCCACTGTATCTGTCTCATCACACCCAAATTATCGATCATATAACCCCCATTTTATGTATGATATCTATTTATATCACACCAGTTATGATATCAAACCTCTATATCTCACATCTGACCCACTATATCTGACATTGTCTTCACTGTATCTGTCTCATCACACCCACTGTATTGATGACATCACACCAAGTATGTAAGACATCAACTGTGTATGTATGACATCATATGCACTATAAAGCACATCACATCCACAATTTATGGCATCATTCCTCAGTGTTTATGACATCACAACCACTGTATGATGACATCATACCCACTGTATATGACATCACATCCACTCTATCTGTGTCATCACACCCAAGTTGTTAATAATATCACACCCTCTGTATATGTGACATCACACTGTGCATATTTATTAAAATGTATGAACTTTACAAGCATCACATCCAGTTTTTATGGCATCAAACCACAATAATTATTACATGGCTTCCACTCTATTCATGACATTATACTCACCGTTTATAACATCGCATCCACTGTATCTTTGTCATCACACTCACTCTATTTATGATATCACAATGACTGTATGACATCACACCCAGTATATATTTGATATGTTGCTGGTCGTAAAGCCCTTCTGAATGACCTGTGGTACTCACATCATTTGGCCTCTTTCCTGTACCTGCAATCAAAGAGGAAGGGGATGATTGGTGAGGTGAGGTTATTGTACCAAGCCCTCATAACCCCTTCTCTGTGAGTGGGCCACCGGGGTCACTCACAGAGGTAGTTGTCATCCTGGGGCTCGCTGACCTCTTGGTACACATGTCCCTTTTTTGTAGACTGTACCTCTTTACTCCAGTCTCCTTTCCTCTGAGTTCTACAGTGGAGAAAAGAAGCAAAGCAAGACTGGTGGGGTCTGGAGAGTTAGTACTTGTTTTATCAGAAAGTGTGAGATCTCGTACTTGTCCATCTATACACTTTGTTAAAACTTTTCACATTTATTTTTCAAACTTTTACTTTTGTATTTTTATGTTTTAGTTTTACATTATTTATCTATTGGCCACACTGCATGGCTTGTGGGATCTTAATTTCCTGACCAGTGGTGGAACCCACACCTCCTGCAGTGGAAGCACGGAGTCTTAACCACTTAACCACCAGGAAGTTCCTTCTTTATACTTTGTTTGTTCTGTCTTTAACAACTAGTTCAGGAAACTGAGGCTCCACACTGACCACAGCTGCCCAGTTCAGTGTTAGCTTCCTGCAATTCCTGTTAGTAGGTTTAATTCCCCAACCTTCTTACTTAGAACATAGTTCACTGAAACATCTACTCAGAAAATAAACGTTAAGGACATATGACACATGAGGGATTAAGCAGAGGTCTGGGTATAATCACTAACACAGTATAGTTCCTATTATCACAACTGGATTTATTGAAATACTTGTAGGTGTCAACACTTTTGCATTTAATATAATGCTTTCAAACACTGTATGAATTATGTATCCTTATCTTCATTTTACAGAGAAGCAGTCAGGACCGCAGAAAATGTATAAGATTTTCCCAAAGCCCCAGTGCTAACTTCATGTCTCAGATCAGTCCAGCTTAAAGCCACGCTTACCCAAAATCCATGCCACAAACCTAGGCCATGCTTATTAGCTTTTCTACAGGGATTAGAGGAACTAATTAGAGGAACTCCCCAAATTTTTTCTTACCAACTTTTTGTCTGGGATGCTGTCCAGGGGTCCTTACTTCTCTGGGAGGGGGTACTGGTTTCTGAGCCTGCTTGGAGCCACTCATTTCAGCAATTTTGCTGCTCCCAGCAATTCTTTCAAACTAGAAACCTTACTTAATGGTCCTCTGGGCATTGCCTTCTGTGTGAGTAAAAGATAACATGCATTTCTTTAGTCCTTTAGGACTGTATGAAGTGTTTTCACATGCATGACTTTAGTTAATGCTTTGAAAATTCTTGGAAATTGCTGGTGGAGGGTGTGGTCTGAACACTGGAGTATAAAACAAGGACCTAAGTGGACAGTGAATCAAAACTAGAATTCATATCTTAAGGTTCTTTCCCTTCAACTTTCTGCATAAAAGTAAGAGCAAGGCAGGGAGAATAGCTGGAGATAAGGGTTTATAGAGAACTCTGGTGGATTTTCTATTAAATAGTGGAGCATTGATGGAACAGGAAATATGGATAATTACAGAGGGAACAAAACACATCTGGAAAATAAGGTGACAAAGCAGTGAGATTGAGAAAAGACAATCGGCAGAAACTCATTTAGACAATAAAGAAAATGAGCTGAAAGTTGCAGGTTGCCATGTCCTCTTAGAGACAATGTTCGGAATTAAATTAGCTGGCCTCATCAAATCTGCTTGAACAAGGCTTTATGACTAGTTGGTTCTCCTCAGTTTTCTGATCCATAAATTNTTGGTATACAGGCTAATTCTTAATGCTACAGTGGACATGAAATTTAATAACATTTCAACAAATTGTTGTGTGAGCTATTTAATATAGTATGAATGTGACTGTACATCCCTGCCATCAATTTATCCCTTCAACTGCATCTATATTTGAAGTCTAGCTCACAGATACTATCTTCAGCACTCTTTGACCTTGCTACTCCTAGATGAATGTTTAAATGTGGAGTCACTCATTCACAAAATGTTCAGGGGGCCCTCAGGGGCTTTGAGCTGGGCCTGGACTTCTGAGAATTAACAGGTACGGGCTAGGCTCTTAAAGCTCACAACACAGGGGTAGGCTAAACAAATGATTCCAAACAGGAGAGTTGCCTAATCTGAGCTCAGGAGAGGGACTTGTTACTCCCTCCTGCAAGATTGAGCATTTGAAACGATGCCCAGATGATGAGTCTCTACTCAAATGTGTCCAGGATCTCTGTGTCTTCTCCTTTTCTCACCTGTGACTGGATTAATGAGAAGGATATTTTTGCAACAGGATTTGGGAAATACTCACCTTCTGGTGTTTACTGTGCTCCACACTGCAAGTTGCTTCCTCTTATTGGTGTGGGAGGTTCTGAGGTAGGGATCCTGTCACCTTCTTTATCTTGGACCGCACACTCTACAAACTTTCCAACATGTCCTTTAGCTTCTTCATCTTGGACCGTCCACTCTACAAACTGCCCAACATATCCTTAAGCTTCCCTTAGTCAGATGTCTTAGCATACCCCTCCCTAGCACAGCACAAAAGAACTGAAGTTGAAGACATCTCTCAGATGAATGCTATAAAGATGTATGAATAAACTTCATAGAACTATGGAAGTTTTAATCAGTTTGTAAGGGGTTTGGAGAATATGCTTTGGATTAGATTGCACTACCAGTGATACTGTGATCTCAGGCATATAATCAAATGTTTTCTACCTCATTTTTTTGATCTATAATGGTGATAGCTATGTATCTGCTTATAGGTACTGTAGGACTGTTTTAAGGTTTAAGTAAGTTTATTCACATAAAATGCTTACAGTCTGAAATATTGTGAAAATAATGTAACAATAGAACAGCCTACTATTGTTGTTGTTCTTACTAACTATAAAGGTGGTGATGATATCAGACAGTGTGCTAAAGATTCAGGGCAGGAAGGCAGCAGTCTCCAGGATCTCTGTGTTTGTTTCTTCCTATTCTCACCTGTGACTGGATCCATGAGGAGGATATTTTGGCAACAGGATTTGGGAAATACTCACCTTCTGGTGTTTACTGTGCTTTACTCTGAAGGTCATCACAGAAGATTTACCTAAAGAACGATGAGAATCAGTGTTTTGGTTGGTAAGTGTTTCTAAACTCTGGGCATTCTAATTAAGGACACATAATTCTGAGCCAGAGAGTGACAAGGACAAGGATTACCAAAGGAGAAATGAAAAATGATTTCTGTATCATCAACTCCTATGCTTCCACTGGGAGCATTACATAATTTTCTTAAAATTAAAAAAAAATGAAACTTAATCTGTGCCTCATCTGATGTCCATAAAGTAATAAATTTACTATCCTTTCATGACAAAAATACTCAACAAAGTAGAAATAGAAGGAAGTGGCTGCAATATAATAAAGGTCATATATGGAAAGTCTACCTCTAACATCATAGTCATCAGTGAAAACCTGAAAACTTCTAAGATCCAGAAAACAGGGGGTGGTCCTAAGATGGTGGAGATTCAGAATAGGACAGGGAGACCACTTTCTCTCCCACAAATTCATCGTAAGATCCAGAAAACAAGGCAAGGATGCCCATTCTCAACATTTCTATTAACCATAATATTAGAAGTCCTAGCCAGGGCTTTAGGTTAGGAATGGAAACAAAAGGCTTCCATTTGGAAAGAAAGAAGCAAAATTATGTCTGCTTACAGAAGACATGATTTTATGTACAGAAAAATCTTTAAAATTCCACACACACACAAAAAACCTGCACAGAAAGTTGCACGGTCCAAAATCAACATTCAAATATCTTTCCCTGCATGAACAATGACCATTCCAAAAAGGAAAATAAGAAAACAATACTATTTATTTTTTAAAGCTATAGTCAAGAGCTAAATTTAAATTTTAAAAATATATTTGTTTTTATTTATTTATTTGTGCCAGGTTTTTGTTGCGGCATGTGGGATCTATTTCCCTGACCAGGGACTGAACCCAAGTTCTTTGCATTGGGAGTGTGGCGTCTTAGCCACTGGACCCCCAGAGAAGCCCCAGTAATCTTATTTATAATAGCATCAAAAAGAATGAAATAGTTGGGAGTAAACTTGAGGAGATGAAAGACTTATACATTGAAAACTACAAAGTATTGCTGAAAGGAATCTGACGTAAGTAAATAGAAAGGCAGCTCATGTTTGTGGATTTGGAGACTGAATATTATTAAGCTGTTCATACTACCCAAAGCAATTTAAAGATTCAATGCAATTCTTATCAAAATCCCAATAGAATTTTTTTCTGGTATAGAAAATCCATCCTACAGTAATCTGGAATCTCAGAGAACCCCAAATAGGTAAAACAATCTTAGAAAGAACAGCAAAGCTGGAGGCCTCTGATTTCAGAACATATTTCAAAGGTACAGTGACCAAAAGAGGGCAGTTTTGGCATAAAGCATGTGCTTAGTCGCTCAGTGGTATTGACTCTTTGTGACCTTTTGGGCTGTAGCCCACCAGGCTCATCTATCCAGGGGAGTTCTCAGGCAAGAATACTGGAGGGGGTTGCCATTTCCTTCTTCAGGGGATCTTAACCCAAGGATTGAACCCGTATCTCCCGTGTCTCCTGCATTGAAGGCAGATTCTTCAGCTGCTGAGCCACTGAGGAAGCCCGCTGGCATAAAGACAGACATGTCAATCAATGGAACAGAACAGACAGCCAGAAATAAACAGAAATACACTCTTGGAAACATGGTTTAATGATCTTCATCAAAGGTGTCAGGACAACAGGGAAAGTTTAATCCCTATAACGAATGGTGCTGGGGAAACAAAATATCCATATGCAAAATAATGAAGATCTTACATCATGAAGAAAAATCAACTCAGAATGGATCAAAGACCTAAATGCAAGACTTGATAAGACTCTTAGAGGAAAACAAGGGTTAAGCTTCATGGCACTGAATCAGCAATGATTTCTTAGATATGGTACCAAGTGCACAAGTATTAGTAACAAAGTAAAAATAGACAAATGAGATTACATTAACCTTAAAACCTCTGTGCAGTGAAGGACACAGTGAACAGAGTGAAAAGACCACCTACAGGATGGTAGAAAATGTTTGTAAAATATGTATCTGATAAGGGGTTAATAAGCATACACCAATATGAAGCCTACCTATAAGCCAGGAAGAGAACCTGATTGACCATGATGGCACCCTGATATCAAACTTCCATGCTCCAGAATTGTAAGAAGATAAATTTCTGTGGTTTAAGGCAAGCAGTCTGTTTTGTTATGGCAGCCTGAGCTGACTAACACAGTGGGAGAAGGAATTGAATAGACATTTCTCCAAAGAAGATACACAAATGGCCAAGAAACATATGAAAAGATGCTCAATATTACTAATCAATAGAGAAATACAAATTAAAAGCACAATGGAAATTATCTCATATCTTCTGTGATGGGCAATATGAATAATAAGACAATAGCAAGTTTGTTAAAGATGTGGAGAAATTGGAACCCTTATACACTATTGTTGGAAATGTAAAATGTTGCATCCTTCATAGAAAACAGTATGGAGTTTCCTCAGAAAATTAGAACTGCTATATGATCTAGCAATCCAACTCAAGAGTATATTTCCATAAAAAATTGAAAGCAAGATCTTGAATAAATAGTGTGCACATCTATGGTCATTGCAGCATTATTCCCAGTTGGTGAGATGTGGAAGCAATCTAAATGTTCATTGGTGGATAAACAGATAAAGATTATATATAAGATATATTTTATATCTGTTATATACACATGCACACAATGGAATGTCTTTAAGCCTTAAAAAAGAATTCTGTTATATGCTACATCATGGATGGGCCTTGATGATATTATGCCAAGTGAAATGAAACAATCAAAAAAGACAAATATTGCCTGATTCCACTTCTATGAGGTATCTAAGTTAATCAAATCTATGGAAACAAAATATAATCATGGTTGCCAAGGGCTATGAGGATGAAGGATTGCAGAACAGTTGCTCAGTGGGTTAGGGCTTCAGTCATGCAAGATGGAACATTTCTACAGATTTGTTGTACAGCAGTGTGTGTATATATCCCCAATGGCTCAGTGTTAAAAAATCCGCCCGCAATGCAGGATGCAACAGACGCAGGTTCGATCCCTGGGTTGGGAAGATCACCTGGAGGAGGAAACGGCAACCCACTCCAGGATTCTTGCCTGGAGAATCCCATGGACAGGGGAGCCTGGTGGGCTACAGTCCGTGGGTACGCAAAGAGTCGGACATGACTGAGCAATTAACACTATGGCCACTAACACTAATGTGTACATAGTTGGCAACAGTGTACCATACACTCAGAAATTGTTAAGAAGGTAAATTAAGATGTGCAGAGGTATGGTGAACTGTGGCCTATGTTTTCCCTATAAAGAATCTCTCTTCATGTCAAAACCTTTGCAGACAACCAAATATTTGGTTTTCATGTCCCTTTCACTGGTTTTAATAACCTCAGGGAACAGAGGGACTTCCCTGGTGGCACAGCGGATGAGAATCTGCCTGCCAATGCAGAGGACACAGGTTCGATGGCTGGTCCAGGAAGATTCCACTTTCTGCGGGGCAGCTAAGCCTGTGTGTCACAGACTACTGAGCCTGCATGTGTTCCGCAACGAGAAGACACTCACTGCAGCCAGAGAAAGCCTGTGCACAGCCACGAAGACCCAGCGCAGCCAAAACTAAATAAGTAATTTTAAAAAATCTGGGAGAACAGAAATTCATAGGTGGAGAATCATAGAACTACCTAAATTGTTTTCTCAAGTCTAGGAAGATTAACTCTTCTAAACTGTTTGAGCAGCAGAAGAGGAAGTGAGCTGCTCACTTCTATTTTATAATGACTGTACTTCATTTTATTTACCTGATGCTGTCTCTGGTCAGTGGAATATGGGAAAGATCAGGGAGAATAAATAGTTCTCTCAAACCCTTTCCCAGAATCAAAACAAAGAATTAGTTTAACCTTAGGGTAAGATTATGTGGTGTTGTTTTATATACATACACAAATAATGTATCTTGACATAATATGTTCATCATTTCCTCTTCTAAGAGATTTAATCCAATAACCAATTATGAGATTAGTATTAAATCTCTTTGGTGAATTTACAGTCTAAGGTTTCTTTAATTGCCTTTCATTAAGAATGTTTAGCAAAAATAATTCTTTTTAAAAAGAATGATAAATTTTAACCATAAAACTTTTGAGAATTACACTGGAAAACCTATACATTCATCTTCATTCAGGCTCATGTCAATATTCGGCCACAACCACTTTGGAATTATGTTTTCTTTGCTAATGGTTGAGATGTAGTTGAGACCTAAGCCCAGGCTGGTTTCAGCAAGACACCTCTAAATCCTCCTGGCCCCTCACCTTGCTGCCTTGGTGTCCATTCTTCATCAGAATCCTCAGTGTCTTCTACCAGGGGCTTGATGACCTGCCTGTGGTGATGCATGAAATCCGGTCGAGTGGCTCTGAAACCTGGAAAGAAGCAAAATATTTGTCCTAAGAAGGAGAAACAAAGCACAGAAGCAATGGAAAGTGTCACAAAGTCAGGGAATCAGTGGGATGGGCTGGGAGAATCTAGAACAAGGCAAGAGGTGAGCTCTGCACTGCAGGGTCAACCTCCCTTTGGTACAAAACTGTAAACATTTCCTTCAGGTTAGTCTCCACAATAAAGGGAACTGTGAGCAGATGAAGCCACCTAAGAGCGGGCCAAGTGAACCCTGAAAATGAAGACCTGTTTCATGTTTCCCAGGCTTACAGGCACCCAGCACTTCCTGTTACCTATAGCAATCAGCACTTCGTAGTTTCTTTTCATATTCCTATAACGGATTTTTTCCCATTCTTCCATCTCTTCCCATTCTTCCTTGGAGAAGTATATGGAGATGTCTTTGAAAGCATCTTTGGCCTAAGGAAAATAATAGAGTTCATCAGTGATTTACTAATATGTCAGATCTTAGAGCTGGGCCTTCTCCTTCACCTTTGGTGCAGGGAGTAGCCTGAAGCTACTGGATGGTCTCTGTGAGACAGAGATGAAGACTTTTCTTCCTGACTTTGTCCTGCTTAACTGAACAAATACTGAGCATTTTCCTAGCTCTCCCTGGACACAGAACAGTTGATGAAGCTACTGTCCTGTTTTGTCCCACTCCACCCCACCATCTCAGACAGGACCAGGAATTCCCATCCTGTGTACAGTCCAGGGAAGTTCACTCAGCTGCCCAGGCAAGCAGTCTGTGGTGCTTCAGGGACCAGCGCCATGTCCTTCCTATAGAGCTGGCTGAGAGCCCAGCTTTGCTGCCTCCACCTCTCACCGTGGGCTTCCGCTCTGTTCTCCCAGCATCTCCCTCAGTGCTTTCCTCTGGAGACTTGTTCGGCCTCATGGCCATTGGAGTGCTCAAGGTCAAGGTGCCTGTGGAAGAAGAAGGTGCTGAGACAGCCCAGACCACTGTCCAGAGCCTGGTCTGTCTTCCTTGGGTGGAGTGTCCAGGGAAGGAAGGTGAGGGGAAAGTCGGGGTGAGGGTATTGGTGGGATGGAGGGATCCTGACTAGCTATGACAGACCAGCCTAATGTGAACTAGATTTGGTTTCTTTGGATCCCCTACAATTCAGCTCCTCTGAGGAAAGGCACTGGGAGGGACTTGTCTGTGGTTGATGGAGGGATTCCTGAGGAGACTTGGAAACCCCTAACTGCTGGCCTGGGGTCAGGCTGAAATCAGGGCTATGTTCCAGTGCAGGAGAGGGACTATTTCTCCAAGAAGGGTTTCGAGGATCTCTGCCTGGGGACTCAGAAAAATTTGGGCATAACGTGTGTTCTATATCTAAGGGACAGGTCACTTGGCTTGAGGAGATCTGGGTCCCACGGGCTGAAGGAACTGGGGTCCTTAGAGGGGACTGGGGATCTTTTGGCTGATGTAGAATGCGCAGGGTGAGAGAACTTGGGATCCTTGAGGCTGAAGAAACCAGGGGTTTCTTATTAAGGTGCTTTAGGTCTCCGACAGGCAGGACAGTTGGGGTCTTGAGGACGAAGAGCTTTAAGAGCTCCCAGGCTGACGTATTTAGGGTCTTCAAGGTTAAGGAAATTTGGTCTCTGCGGGTGCTATTTTTAGGGTGCCTCAGGCTGAGGGGAACTGGGGTTACTCTAGGTATTTGAGGGTCGCAGCACTAGGGCATTCGGTGTTTCTGCGGATGAAGGGACTTGTAGTCCCTGAAGCTGATGAGACGCAAGCTTCCTTCAGATTAGGACTCAGGTTCCTCAAAGCTGACGGGATTTGGGGCCTCTCACCCTGGAATTTGAAGTCGTCAGGCTAAGGGTTTATGAGGGTTTTGCAGGGTGCGTTCCCGTCAGTCTCCCCGCTGTCCTGTGGCGCTGCCCAACCCGGCCTGGGGCGCGCTAGTAGCTCAGCGATGTCTAGTCTTCCCGCGCTGAGGCGAAGCGAAGGGCGAGCGGCCGCCCCCTACCCTTGTCAGGCACGAGCGACCAATCGGCCTTGCGACCGAGGCAGTCTGGCCAATGGGCCCCGGGAGTGTGCGGGGCGCGATGGAGGCCCCGCCCCACCGCTCGGGGATTGGCTGCTCTGGGGGCATGTCTGTTAAGAAGCCTCCCCGCGCAGGCGCATCTTGGCAGTTTTCTTTGCTTGTTTTCAGGCATGGCCTCTTAGGCCTGTATCCTCAAGTGAGCGGGTTGTCCTCAGGCTGGATGTTTCCTTCCAGTGCCCTCAACTAGAACTCGGCTCCACCAGACTGTAGTCGTGCTCCCGGACTTTCTCCTAGGCCCATCTGTCCCCTACCTTGTCAAATCCAGTTTTGGCAAGAACTCTATGTGATGAGTACTGTATTACTCAGAGGAAAATGGTGTAATTAACTAAATTCTGATGAGACACAGGATAAACAACATATGGTCAAAGATTTAAATGCAAAGCATGGAATAAGTATGTTAGAAAAAACTTGGAGGATTTTAAACCTCAAAGTAGAAGTGGCATTGATGAGTCATCTGTATATTTAATGTAGGTATTAAAAGCCTACAGAAATGAGGTATAAATAAAACCTCAAAGCCTTGCAAATGTTTTCTGTAAAACGAGGCATCGAACTGGAGGACAAAGGATCCACAGAGCTGAGTTTGCTTGACACCCACTGGCTTCACAAGGTAAAATAGGGACACTGTTTCTGGCCCTTAGCTAGATTTGCTCACAGAAAAATAACGTGATTTCCATGTATTGGAAGCAAGACAACTGACCGTAGAATTAGTATTAAATGGTGGTTGGGAATCTGGACGGAGAAATGTCACCAGGAAAGTGAGTTTACCTCTTGGTGGGTGTTGAGCCAGAAGATACAACCCAGCCAAAGCTCATGGGAAGGGAAAGTGTATTACTTGTAGAACTATGGAGAACACCATGGAGCTTTCCAGAGCAGTATCTCTCTAAACTGCAAAGTTGGGGTCTATGGGTACAAAGTTTAATCTATGGGTACAGGCATGTTCAGGCTTTCATGGTGGCTCAGACGGTAAACAATCTGCCCATAGCAGAAGACCCGGGTTCAATCCCTAAGTGGGGAAGATCCCCAGAGGAGGGCGTGGCAGTCCACCCCAGTATTCTTGCCTGGAGAATCCCATGGACAGAGGAGCCTGG